TTACGTCAGAGCCACAGGTATGTACCAAAAGAAGCACATCTGGCTCAAGAGCTGCAGTTTGCTGACCCAAAATCTAGCCTAACTAGGTTTTTAAAAAGTCTGCCTGGAGCATTGTACTCTGAAAAAAAACAACCATCTATCTAGGGGATCAAACTGATCCTACAACTGCAAAGACTAGATAGGAGCCGTAGGGAAGATTTATGCTCAGGAGGGTGGAACAACTCAGAAAAGGGAGGCCGGAATGGTTACTGCACAACTCTAAGAATGTAATCAATGTCACTAAATTGTACCTGAAGGAAACTGTCGAATTGTATACTTTGTTGTGTATATTCTGAACAACAAAATAAGACAGAAAGAAAAAGAAAAAGTAAAATGATTATTTTAAAGAACCAAAAACTTCATTGCCACCTTTAAAGGATATTAGGGAACCTACTCATTATTTTCATAGTGATCCGCTAAGACAGGGTGGAACTGTCCCTGTGGGTTTCCAAGACTGAAACTCTTCGTGGGAGTAGAAACCCTTGTCTTGCTCTTACAGAGTGGCTGGTGGTTTCAAACTGCTGACCTTGCAGTTAGCGGCCCAAGGTATAATTACTCTACTAGGTCACTATGAGTCAGGATTGACTTGATGGCAGTGAGGTTTCTAATTCATTCTTTCATTATTTTTTACCTCGTTATATTTTCATTGGTAAATCAAGGGGGGAAATAAAGTATCTATCCTGACTTCTCTGTATAAGCTATAACATTGATCAAATATTGGATGAGGGAATGTCTTTCTTTAGAGGAATGTTTTAGCCAAATTAGAATCACTCTATTATAATCCAGATTGAAATAAGAAGCCCTTGTGGCATGGCCAAGCAAAAGGCCAGCAGTTTGAACCTACTAGTCACTCCGCAGGAGAGAGCTGTAGCGGTCTGCTTCTGCAGAGATTACAGCTTTGGAAACCTGGTAGGGCAGTTTTACTCCGTGTTGTAGGGTAGGGATCGACTCGTGGACTGGACCGTCAGCAGTAATTGGTGAGTGGGAATCCACTCAGTGGCATACCACAGTCTTTATGTAAGGGGATTGCCAGGTCTCTCTTCCTGTGCCGTGCTTCATCACTGTACCACCGGGACACCTTTAAACAACACCACAGAGAGACAATTAGCAAAACCTATCTGGAAAACTACTGAACAGACAGCCAAGTTCTTAAACAAATTAAATGAAAATGAGAGTTAAGAAAGAGAAGGCTTCAGAAAGCTCATGAAAAAAATTCCATTATCTTTCCATCAATTTTTCCAGAAACTATTTGAAGCTCCTCTGTATCATCTCATTGCAAATATACAAACCCTATTTGGATCCTGGCATGTGAACATTGGGCATTGAATAAGGGAGACTGGAAAAAAATGGATGCATTTGAATGATGGGCCTGCAGAAGGACACTGAAAGTACCATGGGCTGCTAAGAGGACAAACTGTGTCTTGGAAGAAGGAAGAAAGATGGCACAATTTCTTTTTTTTTTTTTTCTTTTTTAACATTTTATTAGGGGCTCATACAACTGTTATCCCAATCCATACACACATCAATTGTGTAAAGCGCATTTGTACATCGTTTCTCAAAACATTTTCTCTCCATTTAAACCCCCGACATTAGGTCCTCATTTTTCCCCTCCCTCCCCGCTCTCCCCTCCCGCATGAGCCCTTGATAGTTTATAAATGGGTATTTTGTCATATCTTGCCCTGTCCGACGTCTCCCTTCATCCACTTTTTGGTTGTCTGTCCCCCAGGGAGGAGGTCACACACAGTTCCATGTAATCGGTTCCCTCTTCCCTACCCATTCTCCCTTTACCCTCCCTGTTTTGTCACTCACACCACTGGTCCTATAGGGCTCATCCGTCCTGGATTCCCTGTATTTTCAGTTCCTATCTGTACCAGTGTACCTCCTCTGGTCTAGCCAGTCTTGCAAGATAGAATTCGAGTCATGGTAGTGGGAGCGGGGAGGAAACCTTTAGGAACTAGAGGAAGGTTGTATTTCTCATCATTGTTACATCGCACCCTGACTGGCTCATCTCCTCCCCGAGACCCCTCTGCAAGGGGATCTCCAGTGGATGGCACAATTTCTTATAGCATATTGTCAGTAGACATTATCAGTAGACAATATGGCATGATAATAATAATAATATGACAATGACATATTGTCAGGAGAGACCAGTCCCTGGAAAAGAATATCATGCTTGGAAAAGTAGAGGGGCAGCGAAAGGAGATGGACTGACATAGTTGTGGCTGCAACAATGGGCTCAGACATAGGGACAATTGTGAGCATGGTGCAGGACTGTGCAGTGTCTCATTCGGTTGTACACAGGGTCACTATGGGTCAAAACCACCTTGGTGGCACCTAGCAACAATAGCTACATTTGGGTCTTGCTTCAAACAGACTAAAACATAAATCTGTAAAACAATAAAGATAGTTTGAACATTATCTCAGTTTCAAGTGCTGCTATCACAAAAAAATAACATAAGTGGATGGCTTCAACAACAGAATTTATTCTCATAGTTTAGGGGTGTGGTAATTACATAATCTGGTGTCAATTTGAGGATTCAGAGTGAAGAGGTGGAGTCTAGCCTGTCAATCAGATCACAGCCAATGAGGCCTCTGTGTGGGCATGTTTTTCTCCTGAGGATTCTGGGAACTCCTATATTCCTCCTTGGAGGCAGGAGTCTCAGTCTGTCTCTCTCTCTTGGCTCATTCCCTGCAAGACATCCCTGTGGAGAAGACACGGGGAGAAAGGCTGATGGAGCCAGACCTCTGAGGCCGCTGCCAGCCCTGAGATGCTTACAACGTCACTGGATCCACAAGACTCCCACTGGCCTGTGATCTTCCTGCATTTGGCATCATTGCATGTGTTTCATGAGTCTGAAGAGGGCTTTATAGATTGGTATCAGACATATGGGCTAATATTGGACTTATGGACTTGATCTGAATTGGGGTGGGATGTTTTCTCAATATTCAATTGCTCTTGTATATAAAGCTCTTCCTTATACACGTGTGTGTCTATGAATTTGTTTCTCTAGTCTACCCGGACTAGCGCAAGGAGGCTAGAAGTCCCAATTCAGGGTGGTAGCTGTAGGCCTTTTCTGCCAACTTTGGAGGAAGGTCCTTGTTTCCTTTCAACACCTGGGTGCCCAGTGTTCCTTAGATCTACATGTATCTTGGCACCAATCTTCCCTTGGGAATAGCAGGTTCCAGGCCTAGGGACCCAGGATCCACAGGACATGCTCTGTTCTCGGCTCTTCTTTCTTGGTGGTAGTAGGTTCCTCTCTCTGCTCTGTCCACTCTCTTTTTAACTCTGGTAAGATAGAAGGTGATACAGGCCACACTCCAGGGAAAGTGACCCGAGAAAGCATGCTACACCCCACCCTAATCCTGCTTCACTAACAGAACAAACATAACCTATTCTTTTATAACATTACCTAGTTCTGCTTCATTAATGCACAGAGGTCAGGATTTACGACACATAACAAAATGAAGGGCAGAACACAAGACAACCACCCCACAATTTTGGGAATCATGGTCTAGCTGAGTTAGCATATTTAGGGGAGGATGCTTCAACCCATGAAAAACATTAACTGGCTCTTTGAAAGGAATCCTGGTGATATAGTGGTTCATAGTGTGCTGCTATCTGCAAGGTCAGCAGTTTAAAACCACTGCCACATCGAGGGAGAAAGCAGGGCTTTCCGCTGCCCTAAGAGTTGGAATTGACTCAGTGGCAGTGAGTTTCGTCTTGGCTTTTTGAAGCTATTAAGGATGTTTATGTTTTGGTGAAGTATTCTCAACTATTTAGAAGAAATTATATGTTTATGACTTCTTTCAGAATAATCCAGTGCAGTCATAAATAAGGTTGGTGGTGGGCCAGCCATCTGTGAAACTGAGTTTGAGGAGTGCATATGGAATGATTATCCTGTTATAATTTTATTTAAACTTTTCTATAATTAAAGGTTTAAAAATTCACTTACGCAGAGGCCTTCCCTGACCTCCCTAAGGGAGATGCCTTCTCCTGATTGTCTTCTAGCATAGCACCCTATCCTTTTTAGAGCATGTATCATAACGTTATTGCATATGTTTACCGGTCTCCTTCTCTCTGCCAGAGTTTACCACCTACGAGAATATAAATGGTGCCTTTTTCACTGATATCTCGGGGTTGTGGTGATCCAAAGGTACTTTATAAATCGTTGTGGCATTGAAGGATAGATGGGTAGATAGAGAAAGGGCAGAGGCACTGGCTGGGACAAGAACTAACAAAGGAACATTTATGGCCACCCAATTCCTTTTCTTCAAAGATGACAGAAAAGGGGACCTAGAAAGAAAGGGAGATTCAACTAGCCATCTCTGGAAGGTAGATTTTATGTCACCTTGCACCAGCAGAGGGGTGGGGTCCAACCTGCTAATGAAGTCACAGCTTGATGATGCCTCTGGGAGGCACAGCCTTTTCGTAAGAGACACTGGGACCCCCACCCCCTCCCCCCGTCCCTCTATCTGCCCTTTCACCTTCCTATTCGCTGGGACTCTGTGCCTGCCTCAGGGGCGGCCCTATCTGAGCTGCTGGCGCTGCCAAGTTCCCACTGACCTTGGATGCACAGGACTCCGCACCCTCTGGCCTGTGAACTTCTGGCGGCCCGCTTCACCTTTCTGTGTCACAGGCCTGCAGAGTCTTAAGAGGGCGCAGGGTGGCATCAGATCCGTGGACCCACGCTGGGACTGGGCTGGGATGCCTTCTCCATCTAGGATGCCTTTCGGCTCTCAGGCTCTTTCTTGTCCATCTATGAGCGTCACTGATTTTGTTTCTTTAGACAACACAGCCTCACACCCAACCCATAGGAGTCCCTGAGGCAAGCTGGCTTTGGGTTTAAATGATTCTTCCACTGTATGAGAAAAAACACACTAGATTCATAATTCACTGAGCCATAGACATTGTCTTTGAGTGACATCTCATGAGATAGCTCAATAAGTAAAAGAACCAGACACAATGGACAAAAGCAGATTTATTTATTATTATAGTTTAGTTTTTAAAAAAAATCATCCAGTGATTATGTAGAGTCTAGAAAAACCTGTCCCAGTAATGCCAACTTAGAGGTAAAGGGCTGACTAGGGCAGCTGAGAAGAGGGACTTTCTGTTTGCCAGGCTTCTTTCCCCTTGATCTGTCCTGGGTTTCTGGAGCGGATAACGTTCCCGGTCCTCCTGGGGGTTGCCATGGCCCGGAACTCATCGTCTTTTTCTGAACTTTTGACCTGTTCCGTTTGAGAGAGTAGAATTCCCGCATCAAGTCCTCCACTTCCCACTGCTCTTCCTTCAGCCTCCGGCAACAGTGCAGGGCTGCGGGGTCGATGGGGTGGGCTTCGGTGTTGAAGATGTACCCCCCGGCTCCGAGGATGCACTCGCCGTAGGGGGTGATCACAGCATCGAAGGTGGAGCCGTTGTTGTGGATGAAGTTATCCGGGTCAAAGAGAAGGTAGAGGTATTTCACAGTCTCAGCCAGAAAGAAAGACTCCATGCGGTTGTCCAGCTTGTGGTCTCGCAGATCTCTGATCTACCACAAGGGAGAAGGAAGCCAGTCACATGAATGCAGTAGAAAGGAGAGTGAGTCAGTTCTGCCACTAAGGGCTGAGAGGCGTTGGGCAAATTTGATCACAGCTCCGCCCTTTTCCAGCCACCATCATCTCTCACCTGGGTTAGCACCACAGCTTTCAGCTGGACTTCTTGCTGCCACCCTGATCCCACCGGGTATTTGTAGAAATCTTACCTGATACACTTCTATTCAAAACTCTCCATTGACACCCCGTTTCACACAGACTGCAAACCAAAGGCCTGACTTGGACCTCACAGGCCCTACACGAGAGGGCCCCTGCTAGCTCCCTGACCTTCCACCTCAACTAGTCTCCTCGTTCTTCCGGCAGCTCCAGCCACCTTGGCTTGTGTTCCGAGTTCTATGAGCACACTCCCCTCTCCGGGAGTGGGTCCTTTACATTGCTGCTCTTTCTGCTCCAGTGTTGCCCTGACTGCCCTCCATGACACAGGAACTCTCTGATCTCCTGGACCCCACCTAGCCTTGGTGACAGAAACAGAGGTCTAGTTAACCTTTCTCACGAGAACCAAGGATTTCACGGAATATGAGACAGTTTCACAAATGTTGTGGAGAAATTCCATTATCTTTTAATTTCATTATTATTTTTTTTAATAGGGACCCTTTTATGAAGTCTTTAATAAGATAAGACAAAGATAAACGTGTATCACCTGGATGAGGGAGGCATCAGCATGAGGCCATAATTGTGCCCAAGGGTTCATTCTGGTCTTCCACAAAGGGAACCCCCAGGCCTTAGCTAATTCCCCTGAATGTGATGCTAAAAGGCTGTTACCATGTGCTTGCTGTTGTAAACAACAGGAAAGGAGTCTTCTAAAGAAAGAGTCCTACTGAGTTGACAGGCACAGGTGAGTAGGAAGATGCATTCATTGACTTCAGCTTCTCAGAAGGAGGGGTTCATTTTCTTAAACAAAACCAATTCTCAGTGGGCACTTATCTTACCCTCCAACATCTGACTCAGATATGGACTTGGTGTACCAGGGATTATTAGGCGCTTACTCTTTGTGACAAAAGCCAAGGAAGTCAGAAGTCTGTTCCACTAGTCACCTTGGAAGACTTCCAAAGGGCTTCATTTTCATGGAAATAGATCGAGCATTCCTAAGAAGGCCCCAGTGGGCTTAGGCACTTGGCTTTCCAAAGAATACAACACATTAAAAATCAAAACAGAGCACTGCTTTATCTTCCCCCTCTCTATATAGATGCCTTTCCTTTCAAAGTGTGCACCCAACTTTCACTGACAGCATACCATCGCTTTAAAAAATCTTGAGAAAATGAAAGGCAATTGTTTTTTAACCCTGCACTCTGAACAGAGGCTTTGTAGGTTTCTGGATGCATTTACTTCTAGACTATTTCCTTACGCATCTGATTTTGGCATGCCTGGAAAAATATAAATCAGAACATGTCACTCCTCGGCTTAAAACTCACTGTTCAAAGACTTCTGATTCCACCTTGGGGCAGAGGAAGCCCTGCCTGATCTGTTCCCAGTCACCTCTCAGACCGGGTCTCCTACTTGGCTCCTTGCTCACTCCACTTCAACCACATTGGTCTTTTTTCTGCTTCCCACACATATGCTCACTGTTTTCCTACTAAAACGTAGGCTTCATGAGAGCGAGGACTTGGCCTTTCTCCACAGTTGTACTGTAAAGGGAAAGGCTGGCAGCTGCTTCATGGAAGAAAGTTGGGGCCGTCAGCTTCCATGCAAATTTACCGTCTTGGGAACTCTCAGGAGCAATTCTACTCTGTCCTCGAGGGTCCTTATGAATCCAAACCAATTCAACAGTGAGATTTTGTTGTTGTTGTTGTTTATTTTTGCTTTTAATGACCCTCAGACTTAGCACAGTGCCTGGCATATGAGAGATATCTAACTAATATCTATGAGATTCGTTGAACTACTCTCATAAGGGTTCCCAGGTTTAAAGACAGGAGTATGGGACTCAATTTTTCCCCTTTGAAAGCCAATTTGTGGGCCCTTTCGCAAAACTCACCTTTGCAAAGCAGTCAATTCCGACAGATAAAGGCTCTTTGAAACAGGAAGACTGCTAACAGCATGAAGTCGAGATCCCGGGAACTAATTGTAAGTTTCACCTTCTCCAGATATGCAACCTTTAGCAAGGTTCCTTGAGTTTCCATTCTTTGTTTTCCCCATCGTTACAATTAGGATGTCTGACTTCTCTAAGGTCCCATCTAGAGCTAATCTCCCAGGACTCCAAGCGGCTCCACTCAGTGTGGCCATTTTAGCCACTGGTCTCAGAGACACTGACTGCCCAGTTCTTGGGGCCCAGGAAACACTTACTGTTGCAAATCCACACTCCACTTTGCTGATTTTTTCGATGGATTCCACAGCATCTCTTCCAAGTTCTAAGAGGGTGGGATCTCCCGTGGCACGGTAGAGGTACATGGCACTTTCGATGAGTTCTGCAAAGTTCCAAAGCAGACCCTCATCCAGTGGTGAACAAAATTGGCTCCACACCCACATGGGGCAGTAAACAACTCCTCTGCCCCATGTCTTGTCCACACGACTCCAAACAGGAGGAACATGGGGCAACTCACCTGGTGCTGGGTTTTCAAAGCCAAAATGCCCCAAGCCTGAAGTTTAGAAGGGACCCCCATGAAGACGGACATTCTCAAACCCAGGGAGCCTCCAGAAGGGCAGTGAAGCTTAAGGGCAGAGGAGGTAGGGGCTAGAGCATGAGTGGCCATCTTGGTCCCTTGACGACCCAAAAACCAACGCTACCCAGCAAACAAGATTAAAAATTCTTCATGCAATGGAGAGCCATATAAGCCCAAAGCAAGAGACAGAAATATATTTCGATCTTCATTAAGCTATCATGGACCATATGTACTCGAGTATAATAAGCCAACCAGAATACCAGCTGAGGCATCTAGTTTTACCACAAAAATTGCATGAAAAATGTGCTGAAAAACTCGGCTTACACACGAGTATATATGTTCTCTTTCTCTTACAGCCTAACCTAATCCTGAAACGTGAAAGGACTGGAGTCTAGGTAAGGGCAAAGCCCTTCCTGAGATGCAAAAGGATGAAGTTTGAAAGATTCGAGAGTCAGCCCATCAGTTCACCGTGCCCAGAACAAAGTGACAGACTTGCCCTAGTCTCCAAAGCCGGAATATGGGTCAGAAGTGGGTCCCGCCTTAAGACAAACATGAGCCGAGAAGAGTCGGTCCAAAAGGAGAGCCCCTGTACCGGGGAAAAGAAAACCTAGGCAACTGTGTTTGCTGCCTTACAAAGTATCTGAAAGCTGTCATGAAAAAGAAAGACATTCCTTCCAGGTGATTCCAGGAGGTCAAAGTTCCAGCTCAGTATAATCTCGTCACTTTATCACGTAGCCATTTTTGGAGAGGAAAGAGTCCCTCAGCCCTGCCCACATCAGCCTCTCCTCCCGACCGTCATTTCCTGTTTCCTCTGGGATCAGCAGCTCTCTCCCTTCTGACTGCAAATTCTACTTATTGTAGAATCTTCAGGGGAAAGGTCTCTGCCTGACTCTTTTAACCCTAGGAGTCCCTAAACTCTGTTAAGAACATTCTAAGACAGATTAATGCAGGGTTCTGTTTTTTTGTTGTTGTTTTTTTAACTAATGCGTAGAGACACGATCTATTCATAGAAGAAAAAGACAGGGCTCTCATGGGAAGCCCTCCCTTCTATCTTGGGACAGTCAGGGCCAGCCATCTTTTTCCTCTCCCTCACAGGGGGCCCAAACTCATTGCTGACTCACCTCGACCCTATAGAACAGGCTAGAACTACCCCGGAGTTTTCGAGACTATAACTCTTTAGGGGAGTAGAAAGCCCCATCTTTCTCCCATAGAGTGGTTAGTGGTTTCGAACCACTGACTATGCAGTTAGCAGCCCAACGGGTAACCACTATGCCATGAGGGCTGCCGTGGGCCTAAGTGTGTGCTTTCATTTCCATCCTGTCTAGAGGACGATGACATTGCAAGGCTTACATTTTGGCCTTGGAGGAGGTAAAGGCCTTAGGAGCCCTTAGATTCCTGTCCTCCGAACTGCTGATCAGAGCCTGTATGACACAAGACAATCTGATTATACCTAATAGGACCTTATTTCCCACGCACTATTGTTTTGGGGTAGGAAGGGTGACTAAACTAAGGCATTCCTGGAGTTTGGCAGTAGGGCCTTACTTTCCAGTGAAGCCTTCCTATGAGCCTGTCTTGCCAGTGGAACAGGCTGACTCGGTGACATACTGAGCTCCCTGTCATTGATGGGAACTGAGCAAATCTGCAGAGCCCTTTGACCAGGATATGATAGGGGATTTCAATTAGAAGACTTTTCAGGTTCCTTCTTACCCCGATGGTGGAAGTCTAAGTCTTACAGTTAGTTTCAGTGTAGTCTTAACACTAGATATGATACCTTCTGAGAGTTTTCTAAAAAAAAAAAAAAATCTCCCATGAGAACCAGTGCACAAGAAATACCAAGAACAACAGCACCTAAGGAATAAAAGTCTTACTCTCTCTTCTGTTCCCCTTCAAGACTCGCACAACCACTTGGATTAAAAGGAGAAAATGGGAGCAGAGGAAATCACTAAAAAACGTCTCCCACAGCTAACAGGCAATTCTGGCTGGATGGGGTCAAGATTCTAAAACAATGACAGCATGACCTATTTGGGGTTAGGGCTGGACTGTGTCTGCTAAGCTTCCTTCCTCTGTCCCTCATGCCCTTTTCCCCTCTTACAGTTTTTAACCTTCCTGAGGTGAATCAGTGGACATTGGATGTAGAAAAGAATGTAAGAGAGGATCCAGTGTACTAACCTCGCCTTCTCTGAATCTTGAGTTCTGAGCTTCATAACCAGGAGGTGGATGAGACCAGATCACTCCTAAGATCCGTTCCAATGTTTTGACATTCCTTACTACTGAAGCATAATTTATCGGACACGTCTTTGTTTCTCAGAATAAAACGGTGCTTCTTTCTTCTTCTTCTTTTAATCATTTTATTGGGGCTCTTATAGCAATCCATACATCAATTGTATCAAGCACGTGTGTACATAGGTTGCCATCATCATTTTCAAAACATTTTCTTTCTACTTGAGCCTTTGGTATCAGCCTCTGCCTACCCTTTCCACCCTCATGAACCATTGATAAATTATAATTGTTTTCATACCTCTTTTTCCCCCCATATCTGACACTCTGAAGAAGACTATACTTAGGAAGTTTGTTTACGCTTTTAAAATTCCAGCGGCAAGAGTGCCGTTGTCAAAAAGGCTCTTCTCCTTCCCATTCGTTTCCGAGTTTGCAAGGGCACATGATTTAGCTCAAAATTCTGGGCTCTGGTCCGAGCCACTATATTTAGTTATCTTGGGCAAGCCATTTCAACCAATGTATGCCTCAGTTTCCTTCTGTGAAAATGTGGGAATAAATACTTCCTGACGTGAAAACCACCACAGCCAAGGGAAACACCAGGTGGGGGAGCGTTTGCGAGCACCATGAAGTACAAACATGCGGGTCTAGAGAACCCGAGGAGACACTGAGATGCCGCTTACCTGGCCGAAGCGGGTAGCCCTCGCGCTTGTCCACTGTGTATCCCTGAGGAATGTTGTAGAATTCCGGGAGCCCCCCAAACTGCTTCCATACAGTGTAGTAGTTGAGGAAGGTCCTCATTGCATTGTCAATATCCCCAATGAGGCTCTGTCGGGAGACGGTGATTGTCAGGGAGGCATAAGAACCGGCATGAAAACCCACAGGCAAAGTCCACATAGCACCTCCGGGGAAAGAGAAAGCCAAGGCTTTGCAGCCAAGAAGGCCTGTGATCAAACACGGAGTGGGCTGCTTACTTACCGTGTGGCCCTGAGTGAGTCATTTCCCTGAATTTCAGTCTCATCTACAAAGTGGAAAATAGGATGGCTATCTCGAACAACGCTATGAGGACTCGCAGATGGTCGGTGGCCAATCAATGTCAGCGACTAAGTGTTTGAGTAGGTAATCCAGGCATCTGGTTCATAGTCTAAAAAACTCGAAACAATTGGGCCGTGTCAAGTTCCACTCCCACCTCAGACTCCAACGGCTAGCCGTTTCTATTGGGTGAACCTTCCAGACTTTCTTGATGTAAAGAGATGCAAAGATGAACATATTCTTTTCCCCACTCGAAAAACTGCCTATGAAAAATACTGTTTGCATGGATTGTGATCAGAGTTGTGTGTGCCCCTAATAACAGGATTTTAAAAAAAGAAAGAGAGATACTGTTCTGCACTGGGCTTCATTTGTCTCATGGAACGCAGGTGCTTGAGCCTGCTTGTGTTTTGTTTTCATGTAAGTACACAGAGAGCTCTCTCCTCCCACCTGTGTCACTTCATAGCATCCCACTGCTTGGATACGTTAATAGCTATTTGGCTTGGTTCCAATCGTTTGCTATTAGGATCATTGTTGCAATCAACAGTCCTGTATAGATGCCATTTCAAACAAATGCAAAGTATATTTCTAAGATAAATCTCCAGAAGTTGGACTGCAGATCAGAGGATATACTCATGTGCATTTGTAATTTATTAGCTGTCACCAAGTAGCTATTAATCGGAATTCAAGGTCTCAGGGAAACGGCTGACCTTGGCATCTCCATTGGTGTCTCATGGAAAGAGAAAACTTGACCTCTTCAGAGCAAAATTCTCGGTTCCCTCACGTTCCCACAAAGTCGGCTCTCTGCTGGCCCTCTCTTAGTGATTGCGGTGCTGCCATCTATGCAGAAACCTGGTGGTCATCCTTGAATCCTCCCTCCAGCCTCCCCCTGCCAACTCCACCCCAAATCATCAAGTTTTTACCCGCTTTCTCTCCAGGGTACCCACCTGCTCACCAGCATCCCACACTTCCCCACGTCTCAAAAGCCTTCTCGCAGGTCCTTTCCTTTCTCTCCTGTCCCTCTCCAACCTACTCTCCCCAAGGTAGTCGGATTAAATAGCCATTTTACTACTGTCATCAGACGCTTCAGCGGCTTCCCATGGCCTCAGGGGGGTAAATCAAACAAACAAACAAATCGAGAAACCTCAAGATGGACCTCAAAGCCTTGGAAAAAATCTGGTCAAGGCTGACCTCCCATCAGCTGGTTTGTCTTTTTCTGTGATCGTGGCTAGGCTTTGTTACTAATAAATAAACACCAACTCTTTCCTGCACTGCACTCTTCACACTTTTCCTTTGCCTGGAACAACTTCTTCCCACCAGCCATTCTTCAGTCTTTCAGCCTCACCCCTTCTGAGAGGCCTTGCTTGAACCTCCATTCCGAAATCAGGCCCAATATTCTCTCTCTCAGCCTCTGGCTCCCGTTGTTGCTATCTGTTATTCTGCACTTGTATGTTAATCTTCTCTTTGTGTCTCCCTTTCAGTACAGGGCCTGGAACACAATAGATGGTCACGTATTTGTTGGCTAAACGAACCAGTTTCAGATCTCTAAGCCTCCTTTATGAGGAGCCCCGGTGGCACAGGGCTTAAGTGCTTGGCTGCTAACCTGAAGCAATTCAACCCCACCAGCTGCCTATACCAAGAACGGTGTGGCGAGCAACTTCCTTTACAGTCGAAAGATCTACAGTCTTGGAAACCGCATCGGATCGTCCTACTCGACCACTCTGAGTCGGAATGACTACGGCAAATGTAGTTTAGAAGTTTCCTTTCCTCACCTATGCAACAACATTGACCACAGTTGTGGTAATGACACTGTGTGTTGTTGTAATGACTCTCTGCAAAGGGCCTGGCACACACTATTCTTTATATTCAGTTTATCAACTCCATGTTCCAGACAGTGGGTTAACTTGGTTTGTTTCCGCATGTTCCAGACAATGTGGCAAATAAGGTATAAAAAAGTCACCCTACAATCCTCCTGATAGCTAACTGGTCAATATTTACCCCGTTTAGAGTCACATATTAGCTCGTCATCTTCTATTCTCTCACGAAGCCACATTTCCCCTGAGTTATAATCAGTGTGTATGTACCATAATGTTTTCACAGGCGTTTAAGTCATTAAATCTATTTAAAGAACCAGAAATTTAAAAAACCTAATTATCCCTCCCAATTCTTCACATAGTCTAACAGCAGTGGTCATTCCTTCATGCTTCTGTGATCTTTCTTCACCGCTTTGTGTAACAAAGGAGCCTATTTATTTGTTTTCACTTAGAGTTTATATCATAATTTAATGCCTGAAAATATCATCACATTCATTCCTTTATTGTTAGCCATTAGGATCATTTCCAGTGTTTCTTTGTTGAGATCTGGCCCCTAGGAGTGTCTGTCCACAGGTTCCATCTCTCCCTCTTGGGCTGTTTTCTTGGAGAGAAAACAAACAGGGTCCAAGGCTCAACCAACTCACTCTGGCTTCAAAGGGCTGAATTATATCGTAACATTCAAACTCATTCTACCTTCATCTTTTTATTTCTACGATTAAGACTCTTCCGTGTTTACATGGAAACAAAAAAAAAAGCTGGCAAAAAAAATTGACCCCAATTCATGTTTCATGTTAACAGTAAGTAAAATGGCATTTAGATTTTATGATTGTTTATCAAAATGACAGATACTTATGCTGTTTTCATTAACTACATACTAACACATTTAGTCATAACTAAATGCAGATGAAAATCAGTTTAATACGTACAGAGTCTGATGGACATAGAACATTTTAAACATTTAAAATTTATATTTACATACACATTTTGTTATAGACATAAATGATAAGCAGATCAATAAAATATACTCTACAGCACACAACATATTAATAGGGATAAAATTCTGTTGGGGGAGAATAACTGTAGTAGGAGTTCTAGGGGAAAAAAGGAATGCTAGGCAAATACTTAGACGCATGAGATAAAAATGTGCAAAGGGCTTCATATAAAATTCAAGAATTTTAGAACCTAACAGTCTTTTTTAAGATCATTTTACTGGGGACTCTTACAACTCTTGTCACAATCCATACATCGAATAGCATCAGGCATGTTTGTACATATGTACCTTCATTCTTTTCTAGACATTTACTTTCTATTGAGCCCTTGGTATCAGCTCCTCTTTTTTCTCTCCCTCCACCCGCCCTCATAACCTCTTGATAAATTGTTATTATTTTCATATCTCACACTGACCGCTATCACCCTTCCCCCAGTTTTTCTGTTGTTCTTCCCCCTGGAGGAGGTGTATGGTTATGTGTTGATCATTGCGATCGGTTCCCCCTTTCTCCCTTCCTCTCCCTCCCTTCCCCCTACCCTTCTGGTATCACTATTCCCACTCCTGTTCCTGG